AAGCATTGAATCAGATTCTTTTCTCTTCCCAGGACTGGCAAAGGGAACAGGGGCCTATCAATACTTTGAAATTGCCACAATACCACCCTTATTTCACAGTTCACAGAGATTATAAGCCAACTATCAAAGGATACTAGGATCCACTATCTGGAGTAATTCGCTCAATAAACAAAAGCTTCTACAACACATCTGGCATGTCACTGAGGAGATAAAGAATTATAAAGGAAGAAACTTGCTTACTCAACCTGATTAAGAAAATATGGTAAACAAATATGAAATAACTAATAACAGGCAATACAGGAAGAACCCCAACTGCCAGGTTCAGACAGTAAAATATCTCAAACCTTGAGATCCACTCCCTCAGCTATAACTCAAGACAGTTCCTTAGCCACATAAACACAGGCACTTTATATCCTTTCCTTTTTATTAAGAGTTGATTTCAGCACCAAAGCAAAGATTAATCAGAAAAGTACGTCTGTATAAAGAGGGTGGAAGGGGGAGGAAGAAGAGGATAAGAAAAAGTAACTACTGGGTAATAGGCATAGAAATAATCTATGCAACAAACCCCCGTGACACGAGTTTAACCTATATTAAGAAATCTGCACATGTGCCCCTGAACCTAAAGTAAAAGTTTTAAAATAATAAACTAAAAAAAAAAGAAGCCATAAATTAACAAGGATAAAAATTCTTTCTTTTGGAAACTAAGAAATGACAGAGTAATCTCACAGTCAAATGCTTTGCACCTAGTGGAGCTTAAATACGTCTTTTGATTTGACCAAGTGACAAATATTTAATCCCTCTTTATCACTAGTTATCAATATTTGCTTTCAAGGAAAATGCAAAATAATATTTAGGAATAAACAAACCCTAGTTCACAGTATATTTAAAAGTCCCAAGATGTATATTTAATCCCTGTTTATCACTAGTTATCAATATTTGTGTTCAAGGAAAATGCAAAATAATATTTAGGAATAAACAAACCCGAGTTCACAGTATATTTAAAAGTCCTAAGACATATGTCTTCTCTCACCTGGGCTGAGTCCACGCAGCTCAACTATAAACAGTGTTTGTTTAGCAAAAAAAATATAAGAACAAGACAACACATACACACTCAGGGAATAATTCATTTTTCTTTTGGTAAAATGTGCAATTACAAGCTCCTTGCTAATTCTGCAATCTGTTGACAAAGGGCATGCAATGCCACACCATTTGGTTTAGAGACTGTGGACTGGACTCCCCCAGACCACAGCATCCTCTACCCAGCTACCAGGCAGGACTCTCAGTTCAAGCAATAACAAGTTAGCAGGAGAGAGTGAAACCTCAGTTATTCTAAGGTGGCATTCCGAGAGCCAGAACCAATTTCACAGCAAACAAAACTGAACACTTTCCCAGTTCAGAAGAGCTCATATAATGTGTAGGCCATGTTTTGCTTTACAAAATACAGGAGGCTCAAAAGCAAGTACAAAGTTAGGCTGGACAATATTAGAAAGTATTTTTAATTTACGCTACTATCTATAGATTATGGCTAATGTGATGGTAGGTACAGAAAAGCTTTATTAAAAAACCAAAACGGTTATGTTTTGAAGTCAAATTTCTAAAACAGTGATTTTATCTTTATATCAAATTCTTTAGATTATTTATAAATTATAAAGTATATACCTTTGTAACCAGAAATTTCTGTAGAAAATTCTAACCAAAACATAAATTACTATTAAGATAATAAAAACAAGAAAATAAAATTCAAATTTAACCTGGATGCAAAATCTTTCATGAAACTTCCTAAACCATTTTCTAGTCCTCCTCTATAAGAATTCCCTCAAGCTAAATTGGCCGATTTCTACATCGCATGCAAATTCCTTCTTCTGATCATTTACTATAGCCATGCCTTCTCCCCAAAGTGCTCCTTCTCAAATCTGCCCTTCTCCCTTTCTGGACTATAAATTTCTGCCCAGCCCTGATTAAACTTCTCTGCATCCCTGACAGTACGTAGCATTTATTCCCTTATGCATAGAGATTTCAAGAGTTATCTGTTGATTTGAATAATTATTTTGACAACTTGGGGCAGACAAGGAAACTCTCAATTGTTAAACTCATAATTTTTTTTGACAGCTACAGTGCAGCTGGCAGGATCTCAGCTCACTGAAACCTCTTTCTCATGGGTTCAAGCAATTCTCCTGCCTCAGTAACTGAGCTCATAGGCATGTGCCACCACACCTGGCTAATTTTTATATTTTTAGTAGAAACAGGGTTTTGCCATGTTAGCCAGGCTGGTCTTGAACTCCTGACCTCAGGTGATCCGCCCACCTCAGCCTCCCAAAATGCTAGGATTACAGGCCTGAGTCACCACACCCGGCCACAAATAATATACCTATTCAAAAAGAAGTATTTTTTGAGCACCTTACTATGTACAAGATATAATGCCGGGGACAATGAAGAATGCAAAGATGGAACTGACAAAGACTGACTTTCAAGGAGCTCAAAATCTAGTGAGGAAAATAAGATCAACATCCAAGTCACTGTAATCAATACAAGCTAGACAATTACAAACACTTCACTATGGATATGCTAAAGAAGACTAGGATTACTTAGCACTATGAGGGTTTAGGAGGCAAGCAGAGAACTCTTGGAAGAGGAGGCAGCTGAGCTGAACAGAAAGGAGGAGACATAATGCCCTTACGTATAAACAAAGGCAAGGAGTGGGCAGAGTTCAGAAAGTTAATGGATGAAGCAAGGGAAAAGTGATTCTTTAGAACATGTATATGATACAGAGAAAATGGAACAAATGTGAAAGTCACTTGTATTATGAATGAAAAGAGGTTAAACACAGGAAATTTGGAGGTCATCACACACTAAAGTCATGAAGTTAGGCAATCTTAAGTAACCAATATATGTAGGAGGATTTATGAGGATTAATTATGATATCTGAGGAAAACTCATATATTGTAACTTTTTATGTCAATTTATAGCTGAATAGTATTCAACACAGTAAAGTCTACTCAATTAGAATTGACATGAAGAGTTCAAATAATACACAGTGTTAAATATTCTTCAGTGTGTTGTGTGAATAAGGCATAAATTCCACCCGATCTTCCACATCATGACTATAAAATAAATGATCTTCATATGAAAATCTAACAACAGGGCAAGGTCCTGAAGGATTCTTCTGGATCATCTAAGAAAATAAGATTTGGGAGGGGTAAAATTTAGGGAGATTATATTTTAATGTGTAAACTGGCAGTGTGGTATGTATATATAAGAAACATAAATAGTACACATATGGTAAGTCAGCCAGAATTCATCAGATCATCTTATTATCAACTGACTATAGACTGGATAAGTTACTGATACTAAAAAATAAACAACAAACAAACTCAATACAATGACAACTACAAGGAAACAAGCATGCTAATTGGTTTCTGATTTTAGAAACCACTGAGATTTCTTGGGGCAGGGAGAGCCCTCATCTTCTCAAATTCAGACTACTTAGATATATCCATGCAGCTCGCTCTGGCTCAATTACCATTTTCCTGGGCTCACAAACTTGCCCAACTCTTTTTAACTCTTGAAAATAAATGCAGGAGAAATTATTTGTAGAGGGTCTTTTTGTTATCTGTGAAAAAGATTCCTGATGCCACTGGAAAACCAAGTGTGAAAATATCAATTAGATAAGAAACCAGTAGTTAATTTCAAGAAACCATTTAAGAAAAGCAAATGCCGATGACTTGGTATTTTATTATAGAAGCCTTTGAATGGTAACAGAGGCAAAGGTATACAGAATGGCCTTATTTTAGTTATGGCTTCGTTTTTTGTGAGTTAAATCTATAAGTCCTACTGGACATACCAACTTCTTGCTATTGCCTACTAAACTTGGTAAATGGGAATATCCTTCACAGTAGATTTATCAAAAGTACTGAAAGAATGAAAGTTCTTATTGAAGGCTCTAAAATAATCATAGGTACAAATACAGTGTTTTACAACAAAAGGCAAGGTTTACTTGTAGGATCAGCATTCTAAAATCCCTAAGGAGCAAAGACTGCATCCATGGGGGATGTACTGATTAACAGGAAGGCAACAAAGCAGACAACAAAGAGATTTCTAATAAATTCCAAATAGATATCCCTTCCCTCAGGCTGGGAGCCTCAACACAGTCACACCCTGGGTGTACATCCAGTTCCTGTCTAGGAGCTTTATGCAGGACAACTGCAGCATACATTCAAACATGGGGCCAACCTCAGACATGCCAACCTTGTTTGGTATCACCTCTGTGTAATATTTAGAGGATGAGCAATTATAGCATTTATGTCCATGTGGAGGAGAAGGGGGATGGTATTCTATTTCAACCAAGAATTAATACTAGAGGATACTGAAGTGTGTTTATTTTCTAAAAAGCTAAAATCTTAGGGCTTTTTTCCCCCTAATCCTCTTTTAAGTGGCTTTAGAAGTTTCTGTTACTTTAACACAATTGCAGGGAAACGTGTAGGAAAGGTTACTGGAAATGAAGACAGGCCTATTTTGAAATAAAATGAAGCCTCTGGTACTAGTGAAAGAAAATCACAAAATTCAAAATTAAACCAGATAGAATGGTTTTAAGTTATTTTCATTGTTTTTTCAATTTGTTAAAAAGCAAGTTTACCACCTCTTTGAAATCCCCTACTTTGGCCAATTTATGATACTTACACACTGTCTCCTTAACATAGTGTGCTTCCCCAAATTTTAAACCTGAAAATATTTATTCCTGACATCCAAATATGCCTTCCATTGATATCAGTAAAGGTATGATTCTGTTTTTTACTAGGTGTAACTTTAGAGGTTTAAAGAAAAAGACATTTATCAGTAACTTATTATCCATTCAAAGTCTCACTTATAATGGGTTGGAAAACGTGTATTTCCAACCCCTTCCCCCATGCATTCCAGACATGTCAAGAGGCCACTTGTGTTGTCACATTACTGTGAATAGCTGGACCATTCAGCCAACTGTTCCAAAGAAGAGTCACACCTACCTTATTATGCTCATACTTGTACGGGATCTTGAGTGTGTCCATGGCTCTGATCATGGCCTGCATAGCCGTGAAGATGTTCTGATACACCAGCTTGGTGAAGCCCCTTTTATCTTCATCGGAGTATCCTGACCCATGGATGATTCTCATCTGCTTGATAAACGTACTCTTGCCACTCTCTCCTGTCCCTGAAAGATGAACAACAGCAGCTCATCAGACCACAGTGTCATCTCAGTCTCTCAGATAACAAAACCAAACTACCATGCCTTCGATTTAACATCCCCAGATGACCTGCTGAGAGGAGCAACTCTAGAACTGGTAATGCTACCTATGGTGAACATTTAGCAAAATTAGAGGGAGCAAGTCTATTTCAAAGGCAGATAGGCTCCAACAACAATAAAAAACCCCCAAGCCTGTCACCTCTTTGGAAGCCACTAAGCACCAAATTTTGATAGTGATTTGTGACCATGTATCTTGCAAGAAACAATGACAACAGTATCTTTTGAACATGATAAAAACTTGATAAAGCTCTGTTCCCTGCAGAATATCTAAAATGCTTCCAGGATACTGGGTTGACAAGCCAGGATTTGGATCTGGAAATGATAGTGCACTTATACAAATGGTACTCAGACAGCGATAAGGCAAAAGGGCCTCAAAATTTCTAGACACAAACACATTCCCTATTTTATTTTTTAGACATAGGGTCCAGCACTGTCACACAGGCTGGAACATAATGGTGTGATCATAGCTCACTGCAGTCTTAAACTTCTAAGATAAAGAGATCCCACCTCAGTCTCCCAAGTAGCTGGGACTACAGGCATACAATCATGCCCAGCTGATTTTTTTTTTTTTTAATTTCTGTAGAGACGGGTTCTCACTAGGTTGGCCAGGCTGGTTGTGAACTCCTAGCCTCAAGGGGTACACCTGCCCTGGCCTCCCAATGCCCAGCCCATTTTCTCTAATTTTAAAATTTGCCATAAGAACACAGTGTCCTGGTAAGACATGAATAAGAATCATTTTTCTATATATCACATATCCCTGAATTTATTTTGGGGGGGGAGATGGTTTACCAAGTTATAAAGGGATCACCTAATTCAGGAAAGCCATGGTGGTGGTTCTTCCTTCTCCCCATTCCTGACTAATAACATTATACAGAAATTTATTGTGATTAGCTTTTTTATTCCTTCTGTGCTATCTCCTTTTTCACAACTTCAATATTACTTTTCTGTTACCACAAGCCTAAAAAGGTAATCCCTAACAGAGCTATATAGGTCCCTGGGAAGAAAAGACAGAAAAATGGGATCACTTCACAAAATGACAGCATATTTCTTCTACAACGAATCTAAATCTTCTAAAACTTCATTTTTCTAAACGTAAGTGGCTATTTTCATGTGTCCTTTCTCACTCCCTCTCAAATTTCCTTGAGATCTCCAAAACAATAACTGTCTTTATCTTACCCCAACAATGTGAAGAAAATAAAAGTGCCAATTTGGATATTAAAGATGGAAGAACAGAATGAAACAAAGAATGGCCGTATCACCAGCGTCATTAATGTCGTTTCCTCACTACAAAGCTGAGAAAAATTATTAAAGAAAGAAAGGGAAGGAAAGGAAGAGAGAGAGAGAAGAAGGAAGAGAGGAAGGGAAGGAAGGAGGAAGAAAAATAAAAGCTAGTAATATGCCATCTGTCCTAAATTCATTTTGTTTTTCTAGTGGTTGGATTTCATTACTATCTTTATAAACAATCACAAAATTTCAATTAAGTATTGCAGTTTTCATAGAAGTACTCTTAAATGACTGCAGATGTCTTGGTAAATACATAGCCCTCACACAGTTACAGTGAAAGGTATTCCTAGCCACAGAGTCCTGCAGTAGCTGATTCCTTTATAATAATTTTCCTATTACTTTAGTAAAGTGATCTGGAACTCCTAGAAATACAAATTAACAGGTGTACTGTGAATGCTATCAACCCAGTCTGATAGGATTAATCCAAAAAGTTTAAAATGAGTATTTTATAATCCCAACCATGAATAGTAGAGAAAAGCATAAAGTGGCTGAAAATTATCCTCTCTCTAGTAGAGATAGAGCTACAAAACTGTTTCTCATTATCAACCAACTATTTACAGAAACTAGTATCTTTACTCTTCCAAGCAATTAAAAGTATGTAAGACAAAAAAAAATCCAGATTGCTTGTTTATTATCACAATCCCAGAGCCAAAGGCTTACTCTTAGAGCCTAAGTGTAAACAATCATTAATTCACAACGAAAACAGAAGAAATCTTAATTTGTGAGGTTAATGGTATAAGAAGAAAAAGAAAGAGAATCAGGCAACAGGACCTTTTTTCTCCTGGTCATTTGAGAAATTCTGACACACTTATAACCACCCCACACCAAAAAAGAAAAAAAAAAAAAGAGAAAGTATCAGATGAAGTATAAGCACACTGGCATGTGTTTCAATGAAATCACATTGGACAAGAGCAATCAACACTTGGTACTTCCTAGAATCTAGTCACCAAGTCCCTGGGCATTGTCCACATACTGGATATCACACTCCAAGTAGGGGCCAAACGTGTGACTGATGAATGAGTCAGGAAAAATTAAGAGGAAAGAAAGAATAATCAAAATATCAACTCGAAGATATTTTCCTGTTGCCAGAAACATACCCAGGGATCCTTTCTTCATTGTCTCATCTTGCTGGGTACCCCAGGAGGCTAACCAATAGGGATTTCAACAGCTTCGTTATACCATGTCTTCTGCTTGAGTTTAGCCAATAGGAAACCAGAGAGCAGGAGAAAGAGGAAGGGGCATTTATTCTCTTAGCTTCCTCTCTGCAGGACAGCATAGATGTGCTATGTTGCCTTCAGAAGGTCCCAGCTCCTGCTGGGTGGCCCTCTCCATACCAATGCTCTCTCTGGGTTCCAACAACTGCTCCCTTGCCTTGCCTAGCTATTGCTTGGCTCCAGGTTACTGCACCAGCTCTTACAAGTTACTTAAATCTATCTGCTCCACTCCTCAAAACCCACACTGGAGTGTGCCATCCGTTTCCTGCTGGAACTCTGACTAGTACAAATACCAATCAAATGAAGACAAGGGAATGGAGGACATCCTCTCTTCCTCCTCTCCTATTCTCTACAAATCTTTTATTTATAAAGTTCTCTCTATTAAGTAACTCATTCTCATGACACTCTTCTGGAAGCCAATCATGATAAACAAACAGCTGTCGTCCAGCTAAAAAAAAACTGATACAGTCAAAACCAAATCCAGGGCTGCTAATTCTCCCCCAAAGTACTTAACTGCCAGAAAAGTGCATGTGTACATGCAAAACACACACACACAAACTCTCTCACACTCTCTTTCTCTCTCTCTCTCTCTCTATTACAAATAGGTCTCACTATGTTGCCCAGGACTCAAGTAATTCTTTTGCCTCAGTCCCCCAAATTGCTAGGATTACAGGCATAAGCCACCACCCGCCATGCTTCCCCATCTCCCCCCACACACATTTTAAGAATAATCTCCAATGTACACACAGGGGACACAGTAGTCACCACCTCCTGAATATAAAAGAGTTGTGTTCAACCCTTTATCCTTTGCAAGCATTTTTAAATACACTGCCATTTTATCCTCGCAAAAATATGTGAGGTAGGTGTCTTTATCCTCATCCCACAGAAGAGAAAAGGCCTTGGAGAGGTGAGGCAACATAGCTGAGATGATATGGCTAAGAACAGGCAGTTCCAGGACTCAGGCCCAGTCTTCAGATGCCCAAGCTTAGGCTGGGCATGATTTTCACAACTATCCAAAATCCAAAATAATTCACTTCTACTGTCCACAATTTAAAATTATCTCATCCAGGCTTTGACTATACCCAATTTTCCTCCCTTTAACTTAATTTTTAATTTCTAATATTATTTCAATTAAAGGAACCCACTTTGAATCTTGCTTGGTGCCATCTTCCAACTGGCCAGTCCCTAAGTTCCAGGCAAATTTCACTCAAGAACTTAATGTTCACAGTTTGATTTTATTATGCAAATGTTGTGAATTCAAATTGAAGGCAAAGCTTCATATAAGAAAAATCTGTGTGATGCAAATATTATAGGTAGAATAATAAAAATAGTAAATTAAGGTATTATTTGGCACTAGATCAGAATTCAGCCAAAAAGAAAGCACAGTCATATCTTGGTATCCGTGAGGGATCAGTTCCAGGATTCTCCTCTCCAGACACCAAAATCCAAGATGCTCAAGTCCCAGATATAAAATAGTGTAATATTTACACATAACCTATACATAACCCCTATATACTTTAAAACATCTCAAAATTATAATACCTAATACAACGTAAAGGCTATGTAAATAGCTGTCATACCGTATTATCGCTTGTATTATTTTTACTGTTGTATTGTTTTTGTGGGTTTTTTGAAAAATATTTCTATCTAACATTGGTTGAATCCATGGATATGGAACCTGTGGATACGAGAAGGCCAAATGCATATGGACTAAAACATCAACAAAGCAAAAAACTCAGCTTCTTTGTTCCATACTGTTCTATGTCAGAGACAAATGAATTATTCTTAACAAATGTGTAACCCAAATTTCATGTGTCATTCTCCTATTTTTCTGGAATTATACAATATTCTCTGAGTTTGAAATGGACATTTTAACAGTCTAGCACTGATTAGTATGAAATATTTTGGTATAATAAAAAAAACAGCTGTTCCCAAATTACATAAAATTATGTTGTTTCCTAAGGCCACATGAAAATGAAAAGTGTAAGAGACTTCACAATTCTCTTTCTCTGAATGAAAAAAGCAGACTTTTCTACTAGTAGATTGCTTCAAGAATGCAGTGATGACTAATGTCTTTTCACAGCATAGGGCAATGAAAAGCACAAGTAACCCTGACCAAGCTAAAGAAATATGACTCTGTTTCCAAGACCACTGATACTATAAAATCTAGCAATAAGCCCTTTCATAAAATGTCTGGGGGAGGAAGAAGCATCTCATTTTTGCTAATTTAAATATATCTCCCATCAAGTCATTTAATAACTTTAACAAGCAAATCAACATATAAGAGTGTGAGTCCCAGAAAAACCCTGCTCTTTCAATGGTCTATATAAATATGACTTTAAAATGTCCCCATAAAAGTTATTTGTACCCTCAGGCAAGTAATCTGCGTTTTCTAATCCCAGCTCATCT